AATATCAAACAAATTTCTCTTGACAGACTGGAAGAGATTTTTGAAAACTTCTGGAATAGCAGCAATTCAATCTGCTTTGGTGACACACAAAATAGCCTTTTCCATATGTATCCACAGATTACTTATTCTCATATCATATTAATTCCTTTTGTAAATATGGTCAGATCCCAATCATTGTTCTTTTACAGTCAATTCTATTTTTATTCCCGTCGTCCTTTCTTTCCATCTTGTACTTTCTTTTTTTTTTTGTTATATTCAGCATGCAAAACCTTCGTAATCTTAAAATTTCTTTCGTGATCAATTCGAAATAGAATTGAAGTAGAACCCTGGACAAGACTTTTCATGAGAAGTTAGCAGTCATTCAAAACCTTAAAATTTCTGGCTAGTGCGCTACGTGGCCGTTTTTGTGAATAAGCCTTTTCATAACGCTATAGCAAAAAGAAAACATTTGTGTTTTACACAGGCATATTTTTCGCAGGACATAGCTCTTTACTCAAATCATAAATATTCACTTGATAGCGTAGTTTTCGACAAACCCAACGCTTCGCTTATTTTCTAGATAGACCGTCTCTTTGCAGTGTAGCAGAGAGAATAAGATCAAGTTTCACATACTCGGCACCTTTTCTTGTCGGCTAGTATTGGTGCTGGTCGTAGATTGAATACGGTGGTCGATTGATCACGATGGTGTGACTCATATGTGGAGTGCAGTTCCTGTTATTTAATTCGGAATTTTTTCGCCGCTCTGAAAGAAACTCTAGGTATAACGTATTACTTTGATACTACGAGATTTTCTTTACATGTTCATATTGCTTCTCGTGCTCCCACGGAAGTAATGTTAGAAGTGCACGGCCGATGTAAATATAAGTTCACTTTGAATGCTACAACGTTATGAGAGTTTCGTTTCAACCTCGTTCTTTCAAAAGAAGCACGTAGCGCAGTAGCCAGAGGTTTGATTGAGCTTTTGAATGATTACCAACACCCTTACGAAGAATTCCTGTCTAGCGGCAGAGGTCGCTTCTCTATTTGCTCCCAAATAACAAAAATGAACCGTAGTTAAGGTTAAGTTGATTTTTCGACACCTGACTACCATATTCGAAAGATTGTAGTCTTCTTTTGTTATAAAGTCTATAGATTTCTCTCAATATTAGCCTCCCATCGTTGTACACTAATCGATATGTAGATATCATTTTTACCTCATCCTTTGCATGCTCTATAAAGCAGCATACTGTTATTTCATGATTTTTTTTAATCCGTCAACTTACGTATTATGACGATGTCCTTCGCGTCTCCGACATGCAAAGTTCAATGAATTGACTAATTTCGTTTTCAGATGAACATTACGGAAGCCGAAGAACCACAACCGGATGAGTACGTCTATATTCTGCCGTTAATTGTTATCTTAGGTCTTAGTGGTAACATTATCAGTCTTGTGACAATATTCCACTCGCGACTCAGAAATGTAAGTTGTATTTTAGTGAATAGATTGATGGAAGAAAAAAATCAAATTGGTAAAAAACAGGTAAAACTTCATGTCAGTGACGTATCGTGTCGAATAACGTTTACAAAACATCAGAAATATCCAACGAACTCGGCTTCTGGAGCCGACAGAAAGGAATGAAGGGAAAAACTAATTAAAAATTAGTACAACTCATAACAATGAGCGATGTGTCGTACTTCTGGAGACAAACTATGTAGCTCAAATTAGTTATAGAGCGATTCACGCAGAAATACTCAAGCTTTAATGAGTATACTAACCGACGTACATTTGTAATGTAACATAGGAATTTATTGAAAGACGATGGGAAAAGATAGTGAACCGATACATTATTAGTTATATGCGTGTGCACTTCTCCTTTTTCTGAATGCTACACAAAGCTTTTCATTTAGATTCATGACGTAATCAGGGGTGTCCTGAAATACGCATTTCAACGATTACTGGCTCAATTTTGCATCCGGAATCTAACATATCCGGAGTGCCAAATTGGTACTTGACTTGTGTGGAAGTATAGAAACACTTGTTCAATATATGCTCTTGAAAGTCATTGTCGAACCTCTACTATGTGTGCAGCCATTTTCACTTAGCTAAGAATGGAGTCGAATGCATATAGTACATATGCAGACATTATGAGTTTGTGCAGTAAATTTGTCCTTTATCCTCAAGGAAGCAAACAACCAGTTGTAAGTGGTAGGTGGATTCTCGTTCACTGAGGTGCCTGGGGCTCATCGTCGAACATGGAAATCATCATCATCATCATCATGGATGAAAGCTTATTTGGTCAGCAGGGCTGGTTTGTTATCTTCATCGTGCGTCAAGATAATCATTTTCATCAGCAATTATTGTAAAGTAACATTACTAGTTTGACGAGAGGTGGAACCGGAGATTTATGAAGTGATTGTTTTTAACAGTGATACTTTTCGGATAATCGGGCTAGCAAATCATGATAAAGGAATTTTTACGCATTTCTTAAAGAATAATTAGAATATATTCAGATTGAAATCCTAATATGAATAGAGAGTGATCATGCGAAATCGCTGTTCTACATATCATGGTTTTCTTAAGATGAGCTGAGCCGAATCGGTTTAACTCTACAATGATTCAACCAATGACACGTTCACAAAAACTTTCCTATTTTTCTTATTTTTTTTCCCCATTCTTACCCCGCACCTATTTTTATTGAAATACACAGTTTTATGTGAGAAAAATGAATGCTTTGAGAAATTGAATGCAGACAAACTATTTATATCTCGGAAATGAACGAGACGATTATTAGTCACTTAATTATTTTTACTTAAAAATATTACAAGTATTTGAGCCATAACAGCTTTACTTCTATTACTAGGTTGAGGAGAAAGTTCCTTAACACCCGTAAATCCAAATTTTATGTTTGTTTCACGCAGTCTCGGTTATTGTAAATTCATGGGAATATTTTAGAGATATTTCCATAAGAAACACCCATAACAACGCTATTTATAATGCATCAAATTTTGACCTACTTTTCGGATATCAGATGATGACAATGGACATGATTGAGCTTCCAGTTCTGATACACTACTGATGAAAGCGAGTGCATTTCGACAAGATATGTTGTAAAGGAAACCTGTGGTACCAAAGGTGAAGAAACTGCGAGCCATGTAACTGTTGCATAGTAATACAACCAGATAGATGCGTTGTAACGTAGAAAGAATGGTGTGAAAACAGGCGTCGGTAGTGCAACGGTTCCAGTACGCGCCCCTGGCTACGGTCAAATGTGAGTTCGTGTTCCACTTGATGCAAAACTCTTTCATATCACTCTACATCACTGGTTACACTATATCATGACACCGCTAAAAGCGCCCAAGTAAAAAGAATTCTGTTTAATCATAAAGAGCAATCAATTTGAAAGTGGTGATCTCAGTATCGAAGACCAAGCCCGTTCCGGCCAGCCGTTGAAATTGGATGATAGAGATCCGTAAGCAGCATTAGATGCAGAACCGTCATCAAAGACTCGTGAATGGGCAATATAACTGGGTGTCGATAAAAAGACGGTCAGGAATCATCTCCAACAGTTTGACTTTGTCCACAAGACGCCTCACCAAGACCCGCACAAATCGACTAAAGCTCAAGCCAGTTGCCGCGTTGAAGTTTGGGGTCAGTTATTGCAGAACCCGTTGAACGATCGATTCTGAAAGCGTGTCGTGACGTCAGACAAGAAATGGCTCTACTTGGTCACGATCACGATCGGAACAAACGCTGGGTTCCAAAAAGTGAAGCTCCACCATCAGTTGCACGTCAAAACTCGTTGGGCAGAAATGTCGTAATTTGCGTTTGGTGGAATCTTGAAGGTGTCTTACAATTCGAACTTGTTCCGAATGGTTGCGCCATCAATGCCGAACTCTACTGTGAGCAGGTAAGCCGAGTCTACCATGCGCTGAAGATAAAGGAGGCGACAATGATTCGTCGAAAGGGCGTGCTGAGCAAGACAATGCATAATCTCAAACCGTAAAGAACACCAATCAAAAGTTTAATAAATTGGGAGAAGTCGATGTCTTGCCGCACCCAGCCTACAATCCAGATGCTGCGCCGTCCAATTGTGCTCTTTGCCGCTCAATGAAATATCTCCTGCGTAGACGCCGACTCGAGACATTTAATCAAGTTGAAGAGGCATGACAGGAGTTTTTTGGTTCAAAGCCCAAGGAATGGTATTTTAAGCACATCCGTGAGTTTGCAGATCGTTGGCAAAAGATCGTGTATAATGATGGTTTTTAATTAATGAATAATTACTGTTGTTTTTGATTGGATTTATGCATAAACTTCGAATTTTCAACGGGTGCTAAGCAACGTTTCCTCTACCTAGAATAGAGTTTCGCTCCATATCAAGTGCCCATTACTTGTCCGAAAGGTAGTAATACTCATACTGATAGGTTTACAATTTCCAGCTACATATTCACTAAATGTCAGGAATCATCACCGTCCTGGAAACAAGCGATTGACAAATCAGCAACTTCCTACCGACCCAAAAATAACAAACAACTTCAACTTATTTATCTACGGTGACCTTGGGAAGCACTTTCACGGCAATGCATAATTAAAATATCTTACTCAGCCAGAAAAAAAAACATCAGCGAAAACGTAATTCTGTGAGGGATCTTTCAGAAAAAACACTATTTAGAAAGTTGAATAGATATTTACGACTATGTTCTGAACCTCCACTTAGCTCCTTTTTCTAATACCTAACAGTAAAGAACACAACGTTCGGCGATAATCCGTCCTCTGGGGAATGAGCAGTGCATCTGACTTCACTCGCAGTTCGCAAATGATGAGTGAATAATTATTTAGTATATTTCTAAGAGAACTGAGTGGTGAGCAAAAACACGGCCTTAGGCGAATATTAGTTAGCACAATGACTGTCATCTCAACTAGGTTTATAAAACGAAATCGCATACCCGACCAAGCCTGTTAAAAAGTTTCGTGACTGATAGGTGACCCAGAGATGTTGAAGAATAAATGGTGGCGCAGATGTGCATCGGTGGTGCAGTGGTAGAGCACGCGTCCTCACATAGGATGAAACGCGGGTGCGATTCCTTCCTGAGGCAGTGTTTTTGCTCACCACTCAATTCTTTTAGGAATATATGAATGATCATAACACTGCGAAAAATGCAGTAAAATACTAAAAATTTTGAATATAAATATTTAGTCTACAAAACTGGTCTATTGGTGCTCCGGTGACATAAGTTGGCGTTTTTATACTTCCAGACAAGTCTGGTACACCAACTCTTCGACTCCAGTTAAGACAGATAGCTTGATTAGGGAGAGGTAGGGGATCGAATCAACGTCCGTGAGGTCCCTGGTTATTGCTTCATATGCACGCTCTATAAAATTCCATACATGACTAAGTGTAATAAATACAAAAATACAAAAGAGTTCTGTACAACGATAAGAATCGAATTCAATATTCTTCAAACTTCTACTAATATTAACTCCGTAGCTTCGGTCTCAGCTGTTAGATTGATTTTTTGAATTTCAGGTAGGCGCCAATGTCTATCTAATTGTACTCACGAGTGCAGATAGCGTATTTTTATTTGGTATACTCCTGATATGTTTTAAGGTAAGTATTCAGCATATATAAAATAGTAGCATATAGTAATATTTATACATATATATATGATATATATATATATATAATACACAGATGTATTCTATTTGATCCTCTCTTATATACGGTAATGATTTTATGAAATTACGACTATTCCATCATGCGTATGTTCATCACCTGTATCATCGTGTCGTCACGTTGATCGTCAAGTGACTCCAGCGGGCATCAGCAACACTTCTATTTATCGCGTGCAAAAGTAGCTCAGCGGTCCTTCTAGCTCTAGGAGTTCGCTGAGCATCAAATCTTTCTTCTATGCCTTTCGTGAAGGAATCGGATCATGGGGTTGGTGGTTTTTCTGTAGAGCGCTTGACATCCCAACATCCAGTAGCTAACGGCTCTCATCCATCGTTTGTCGTTAAAGCGCATTACGTGTTCGGCCAACCTTTTTTCGACAGCGTGGATAGACGTAACTGGAGCATTCGGAGAGGTTCGTTCCGTTTAGCATGACTGAAGCATTCAGAACCCATCCGTTCCTCATAAACATCGTTTTCGTTATATTCAGTCAAATACCAGTCTTTCCACATGCGTTTTTCGATATCGGTCAACATTCGCTCTGCCTAGCTGATGTTTGATGTTATGAGGAAGATATCATTAGCGAATCGAAGATGATGTAAATGTCGATCGTCGATTTTCACTCCCATATTGCCCTATTCTAAGGTTCGCATGACGTTTTGGAGGGTGGTAGTGAATAATTTTGGAAAGATTCTATTGCTTTGTCAAACCCTTTTTCTTGTGTCGGTATTGATAGTGTTATGGAATGGCGATATTCTAGTTGTGAAATCTTCATATAACTCATGACTATATATTCATAGGATTCAAAATTTTTGAATCGTCTTTTTATCGATTTCTCAACAAGTTTACTGAGCTATGAAAAAATTTGTGAATTATCCAATTAATTCTGAGATCATTAGGAAATCGGGTTCTGAGAAGTTCATGAGAAGTTCAATGAGTGTCGGAAAGGATATAGAAATGAAAGAAACAATAGGCATTCAAAGAATGAAAATCATTTTAAAAAATCAAAAAGTAGGATTATTGGTAATAATAGCGACTTAATGATGACAACTTTTGTCAATTTATGAAGTCATTACGTATATCTAACGAAGTTATATATTTATTAGCTTAATAATTGAAGCAACTATGTTCTAGCTTATCAGTTCAACAAAACGTTTATTACAGATGTCGGTGAGAAATGAATGGAACCTTTACTTAAAACTCAAAAGTAAAAAAAGGATATTGGTGATGTTGCTTCAAAAAAAAACCTTTTGGCCCCTGTAGAACCATCAGCCGCGTGTAGGAAGTTTAAATTTATTTTGAATGCTACAGAGTTGTTAGAAGCATTTTTTGAATAACATGTACATTTTTGAACTCATCCAAATTTACGCTATTTAGAGGTTAGTAGAAGTTTAAAAAAATTTTGTTCAGTGAAATATAGACGTAATAGTTGTAAAACGCGCAGCGCGTGAAACATAACTTTATATATTTTGCAACAAGAGCTTTTTTTAGATTTCTTATGACCTTCAAATAGCCTCGATTCGGGTGAGTTCAAAAAAGTACTTGTTTTTCAAAAAAGCTTCTTACAACCCAGTAGCATTCATAGTAAAATCATGATTCCTACACACCGCGGTTGATGGAGTCACAATCCTCCAATAGCATCCACCTTCTAAAGAAAGTTCGTCGTTTTCTTCCACTAATCTTAGTGACATAATCGTCGATCACGTCTTCAGTTACTTTAAGTTTTGGCCTAGGGATTTATTTTTGTCAACTGATTGTTTCACCAGTTATTGGAATAAAAGTAACCTTGATGAAGACTCCCTTGAGTTTTCCACTTTCATTATTATTACTTCATATAACTTATATATATTATGTACTTATATACTTATTTGATACCTCATCATTTGATTTGTATACATAATTCAGGTGTCCATATAGAGTCTATCTATTCATTGCCATATTGTTGACTACATGATGAACATTTTACTAGGTAGTAATCGATTAAGGTGGACTTCATTGCATTTGAATACTGCGTCGGTTTGGAATACTTGTTGATGACAGCATCGTATGTTAGCAGTTGGTCGACTGCAGCTCTCACGATTGAACGTTACCTAGCCATAGCTCACCCATTGAAGCATGTTAAGGTCAGTGCGGGTCTTTCTAATATAGACGGAAATCGGTTTCGATTTGGAACTTTCGTTCAGTTCAGTGAGAATATCTTGGTAAAAAGATGTTTTCTCCAAGATTTTTTTTTCTAACTCTGTGATGCTATCAACATAGCATAGAAACTCTTCGTGAAAACTGAGTTTGAATCTCAAAAAATTGTGCGGAAAAATGAGGCTTCATGCTGACTTTGAAAAGCCTATTTATGGCGTAAAATGTAATATGTCCTTAAACGGAGCCTTACTGTGCTCATAGTTTTCAGAGCGATAACTTAAAGTATAATATATCATACACTATTGTAATTTATGAAAACTAAATTGTAAAAACACTATCAAAAAGTACTATGTAGAAAAGAAAAACCGCTTTAAAACATCAATGAGTTTTGAGAGGTGGAGGAGACTGAAATTGCATAACCCTTTAAGGAAGATATCTCCTCAACATTACAAGTTTTCTCTAAAGTTCTAAGATCTAATTCACTAAAAAGCCATGCTAAGATTTCCAAGCAGTAGGCGAGCATTGCGGAGATTGTAATTCCTTTAAAAACGATTAATAATAAAAGTATTACAGTACGATCATGTGAATCGAGTGCGGATGATCGCCTACTGGGTGCCGATTCCGTTCGTATTGCAGTTATTCCAATTTATTTCCTTGAAACCGGTTGATGGTGACGACAGAAAGTGTGCACTAAAAGAAGCAAACTATCAGGTTTGTACATAGATTATCACATCACTCACCAAAAATTGCGCCATTAATAAATTTCCCATATTTAATAAAGCTACATGAATGCGATTTTTTACTAGACAATTGAGTTATTACTCTGGGATACTGAAAAGAACGAATAACATTTACATACATAATCGATGTTATTTATATTTATTTACGAATCTAAATTCAAGCACTTCCTAGACAAAAAACCTTGCTTGCTACTAGCAAATAATTTTGTTTTCTACTTTTGAAAGTTATTTATTCATGAGGAATATGAGAGAACTCTTTTTTCTAAAAACACCTAGTAACTCGTAGTAGTATGAGCGTGTGGGAAAAAAGGAAATAAAGCTGGGAATTGACATTATAACGATGATAGGAATAAACTGCAATTGATTAGAAAATAAACTTCAAAAGTAGTGAGTCATCCAACGACGCCACATTACAGATTCTTGCACAAGCTGTAGATACCGTTCTGTGTTACTTGATGCCGTGTTTAACAATTGTCGTGTTGAACATTTTAGTCGTCCTGAAACTTCGACGATCGACATTTGTCGACACCAACAGAGAAGTATCTAGAAGGCAAGGTGGTAAGGAAATTATACTAGAATTTGTTTATATAATTCATAGATAAAATTTCTCTATATCGGACAGTGGATCCACATAATGCCGTGATACGCAAATGGTCATTTGCTCAGACCCATCTATGCCAAAAACCTTCCCTTTTCCGAGGCTCAGCAAGTTGGTACTGAATCTGTTCGGAAGTCGCTCTTTTCTCTTTATAAATATTGGTGATTGTCTATTGTGCAGACCTGAGAGCTCCCTCATCAGGGTTATTCTCAGTTTTAACTAGTATTCTGCTACATAAGGCGAAATTCTCAGTTGGTAACATATTTTAAACCGAGCCTCTACATATGAAAGAATTGGAGCCAAACAGCTTACATTGCACGACCGCTGAAAAGATTATTTGACATTGCAGTGGCAGTCGATTGCTTGATGACTGGTAAAACAAATACAACGGTACCTTTCTATTCGACTATCCTTTTTTTTTTTCAAATTCTCAACTTGTAAGCGAACCTTGCTCTCAACACCTAGAATCATTGTGGGCTACGGATGTACAAAAAAATTATTGGAATCCACATGTGTGAAGTTTGTCCGGTAATATGAAAATTAAGCATACCAGTCGAAATTAGTTAGTATTTATTGGTTAGGTCTGCGGAAATTTTGCTGGAATCACTTTTGGTCGAATTCAATAGTAGATGCCTTTGTTACTTCGCTACGTCGAAGATAATATCACTTGAACCTTCTGGCTAAAATCCAGTTCCGTCACATAACGATATTCAACCATCAGTAGAGTCTTCAATATCTTTGCTGCGCAATGAAACTACCCGTTGGTAACTAGATGAGCGTCTTAAGATAGCTCTGCCTGCTTTGTCTTGGATGAACTTCTTCAGATCAGATCTTTGCTGAACTGGTTTGTTGGATTCAGCCCATACTCATGCAGGCACGCCTGTTTACACTAAGATATATATGTTACATTCACACAGGGAACACGAACCACTTCGCGTTTGAGGGCCACTTAAT